ACTTCCTAGTCGTTCCCCACCACATGCATGCTGTTTCGTTTCATGAGGCTGGCAGGCCTCAGTAATTCTTGCTGCTGCCTGCCAGCCATGCCACAGCAATGGCCCAACAAAATAATCAACACGGCCTTCAGGTCACGCCACAAGCATAGAAGGTTACAACACTGGTTTTAAAAATGAGGAATTCAGTGACGAATAAAAACACATAGGTTTATAGCCCAAAATTAATAAACAAAATTTAAAACGGGGATTATGAAACTAAAGTAAAGGTGTTTACATTACAACTTCATAAACTCTTAAAAAAGAGTTTTTATTATGCGAATTCCGACCTTTTCATATTTCGAATCCTAAACAGCTGATCGAAATCTTTCTGTGCAATTCTGAGCTCTTTAGAATCCTTATACGAAGCGGAAAAAAACTGTGGCTTGCATATCCCACATGTAGGGAGGGTCTAGTCTATATATTTAGTTCGCTGACAGATTTTAATGACGTATGACTGATAAGAATTTATTGCGTTATAATGAAAAATGACCAAGGCAGTTTTAGACAATCTGGGCTGATAATTTACACAAGCGATATCAGTGGCTCAGAGCAGAGTCCAATGGTGTGTTCTGATAGTGACTAACGCAAATGAACTTTGGTGTAATATTAGACAGAAGCTTCGACATACAAAACTCAACAGCGAGCAGAGACAATTATTACGCCTGCAATTAGAGGCGTAGCAAAATGGTAACATTTTATCTGTTTTAGTGTCCAGGTATATGAAGTAATGCCTCAGCATCTTTATTTCTTTTAAGAGATTTGAGACTTTCGTTGTAATGAAGATGTTTATGTTGGTCTTCTGCCCTTAATGCCGCTTGGCCTTGTTCGCATTCAGAACAACAAGAAACCCAGTTCTTCTTACATGTCGCAAAACAAACAAGCGTGACACCATGTCTCTGATACGTTTGTAATTCGGCGTGCCGTTTTCTCAAAAGCATAAATTCTCTTTTATAATCAAAGCAACTACTAACATTGCAGAGACCAAATGGACAGAACATGCCGGTTCCGACTGTACAACAGGGACGTCATTCTAAGCAGAGCGGAGTGCATGAAGAAGACTTACACACTACAGATTTACGACTTAAATTGGATTGAACTGTACCTGGGTTGGTATCAGCCTCGTCGTTCCGCGCGTTTCAGTTTTCTGGCAACAAACTGCAACCACAAGAGCAACGTGGCTGCAGACTTTTCAATAAGAAACTGAATATATTTACTCCAAGACCAGCCGAGTGTTTGGACAGAGATCTACACCTTTAATAAGTGTAAATTATAAGATACATTTTGTCTACTTCCCTTCTTCAGGACATCAGTACTCTGTATGGATGTGCATCCTCCCCTTTAAATGTCAGCTAATCGATTTTCATGAACGTTACACTGTTGGAGACCACGACAGCCTTGTCAGTCTACTCTTGTGCTTGCTGCCTCTATTATCTGATGACAGAGGCAGTATCCACCTCCGAAACGTCTGTAAACATCTACCTGACTACAAGGCGCAATAACCAAGAAGACAGCCATCTTGAGACTCATATATAAAAAATTCACGTAAATCGTTTCTGCGGTTCTCTAGCTGTTGAACAGACAAGGCGAGACCAACAGACGCGTTTTGCAATTTTTTGTTGTAAATACGCATAAAAAGTTTTGTTTTTTACGACAGAGACGTTGGAGCAATACGACATTACGTATTGTGCAAGGAGAACGAATGAGTAATGGACACACAGGCTGGTGAAGAGTGGAGGTGCATTTGGAGTACCGTATCAGAGTCGCGGTATTTTCGCAGAAAGTTTATGTGGAAGTGAAGATGCGGATAGACTGAAAAGAAATAAAGAATTAAAGCCCACATCACGTACGAAAGAAACTGCAGAGAACAGTATTATACGCTGCAATAAACAATAATGTGTTTGTTGCACGCAAGGAAAATTCATACTCAACTATAGTCGGGAAACATAAAAGTAATACACCACCTTGAAGTAGATGGAAGGACAAAGGCCAATAACAATATTGAAACGGAGCTTAAATACTGTGAGGGTGTCCGTTGGATTTATCTGGCCAATATTAACCTTGTTTTGAGAAACACAACGAAACTGACAAAAGTCAAGTCTCTTCCTCTTGGGAAATGTCTTCACCGTGCATGAGATTTCACAAAAGAATCTGAGTTATCCATTGCATAAGTGTGTCGTCATCATTAGTACAAACCAAATGTCCTTTCCATACTCACTCTGATAACAAATTGTGTGACGTTCCTGCTAACTCATACGTAATTTTTTCGACCCTGAGCACCAGGTAGTTTTTGACGTGGTCGCCGCATGCGACAAATCATGCAGCACAAAATTTATTCTGAGTGAAAAGACTGGAAAATGTAGGCCTACCTCGGTATTTTTGAAACGATGGTATTCGGCCGGGGTTAGGTAACACAAATTCGCCGAAATCATTCATGCCGAGGCGTTCCGTTAGTTTCGCAGTCCCTCCAAGCAAGTAACGCGTTTGTTCCGTACCATTACGAACCACATCCAGAAACGGAGACGCTTCGCATAAAACATTCCTGGTATTACAGCAATACCCTTCATATTTACTATCACTGTCTAGTAGTCGAGAGGTTAGGCCACTTGCCGACCTGTGTAAAACATAACTCCAACATTACATGAAACTGATCGAACTTCATTCGTTTCATCCAAAATCTTTTCCATCGGATACCTTTCAATTCAATTCAATTCTTTATTATTAGTGTGCTGTATCAACAACCAGAAGGCCAATTACAGATACAGCACAGAGACGAACACACGAACAACAGAGTTCTAAAATAACTCAATTTCTTCGAAGAAGTAATTTTACTCCTCATAATTATAAATCCGAGCAACTCTAGTGATTTTAACATCCTTAACGAATGAGGTGATGACAAAAAATTACAGCCACGTGGTACCTCCCCAATAAATAGCACCCCGCTCTTCTGCTCACCTCGTTGCATCCCACCACACTCCAACTTCCAGATTTTTATAAGCTGGCCTTTGCCCTTCACAGACATTCATCCTGAAGATGGCAACTGAAATTTTCGCCAAAACGCAGGAACATATTCAACAACCGACGCGGTGTTTCTTCGGAAGCCAAAATTGCGCATCGAACACAAGTCGCTAAAAACAAAGGAAGAGAAGCTATGATAACAGATTTGTACCTACGACAAATGAACACCGAAGCCAATTACGTATCAATAATCGGCACGAATTTATTTCAAAAAATATACTTATTCAAAATCAGGATGCATCTTTCCTCTGCTTTTAATCCAAAAGAATGTAAATACAAACATCCACCCCTGCCATTTGACGGTGACGCTGCCGTGCGAATACAATGATGGTTAGGTCTGCATGTGCATTGCCCCTTTGGCTACTATTTTCAGTTTCAAGTGCGTGACGAATTTGATAGCACGACCTTCAGTCGAGAATACTGAATTATGTTCATTCCGTTCAGTATTCAAGCCACAGAAGCTATGAGTATCACTTTCTCTCCGGGCAGTGAACCAAACTCCTCCTCTGAAGTGAGATAGGTTGGCGCAATAATTTACCACGAAGAATTTACGAGTATTCTCCTCCTTCCTGTGGTCCCGTTAAACAAATAAAAAAAAATAAAACTTCCGTTGCAGATGTCTGTGGCACTGACAACTGTAGGAATAATCCCAAATCTATGCACCAAACGTGATTCATGACCCACACATCTTCGTCTTTCATTCCGTAATACGTAACACGGCATCTGCTGCACTTAGATGATAATTTATTAAGAGAAACAATTCAAGAAGAATCCCACTACCCATTCTTAATCGATTACTAAAAATTGTCTAATTTATAGCGCGACCAAGCCAAGAAGGATGAGACAGTCAGTGTGCATGATGTTTGTGAACCACAGAATCGGACCGTTCATCTGGTCACGCAGTAATATTGTATTTAGCTTGTAGTTAAGCAGCGTCAAACGAGGCATGCTGGAATATTCCTGAGTGGTAACAAAGAGATCCAGGAGGAAGCGGCTGTAGCCCATTTCAAGATAAATTCCTGTCCACCGCCTGCAGGATATTGATCTATAAAGATCACCAGTCCCCTCAGGAGTTCTAACCTGGAATGTCCGGAATAATGGGCAGGAAAGGTGACCTTAAGATGGGTGTCTTCTGGGATGCTGCGCCGTGAAGTCTGGTAGAAATTTGCCGACGCTTTTGAGGTGCTTGCCTCCACCATCATCATCGTCGTCGTCTGAGGACATATTCATACTCACCACCGTAAGAACATTATAAATCTCACTACGAACGGTAACCTCTCCGCCAATGTTCGGCCCTGGGTCATAAGGAAATTCTTCGGACGCTTCCTGGATGATACGCGAGCATGACCGAATCGTTCAGAAATGAACGCGGGTTACCGGTTCGTTATAAGCTACGTACCGCCATTGCTACACCAGCGACATTGGTGGCGTTCTTCACCAAACACAGATTAGACTTTCTGCACAGTTCCGATCAAGGATTCGTTGGAAAATATCTCGAAGCAACCACTGGACGCGGGGACCGGCCCGCTGGAGAATCTCTGGAGAAACATGACGCAGAAGCCACGGGTGGGACCCAAGACCTCAAGTGATTCCAAGAGCGTGAGCGCCATACAAGAGTGTGGAAAATAAAATTGGCCTGAACGAATGGATACCAGTTAATATGTAAGCTACCGAATAGCCGTACAACGTGAAGGTTTCTGGTACAACTATAGGCTTACCGATGGACAAGAGAAAGAGAAAAAAAAGCCCGGAAATGAACAGTGAAAGTGATTTTTTAATTCGTTCTAAGAACTCACACTGATACTGCAAGTTCCGCATGGGCTCACTACCAATGACCGATGGCCGCTGCGGTTCGTTGATGGAATGTAAGAGGAAAAGATTTCACATCGGCACTTACAGCGGGACTCGCTGTAACATGACGTGTA